ATTATTTCAAATATAATGATAAGGCAACAGTTGATTTAAAAGATTTCTGTTCAGTTTCTTTCAGTCATAGTAGATCTGATAAATATATAAGAAAGTCCTGTATACAGTGGATATAAAATTTACATATCCCTGTTAAAACGAAAAGTTTTTGAAATATATAAAAAAATCAGACCAAAATAAAGCACTTCAGATTTTTTTCACATTTAATATAACATATACAATTCAATTGAGAAACAAACTTAAACTTTTTAGGGGGGAACTAACAATTTGAAAAGTACAATAACATGGTTGCCTAAATGTGCACACCCTCTTATAAGTAGGATATGGCTGTGTTCAGAATTTTTACATTGAAACTGCCATAAATAGTCAGAACATACTTGCTATCAATTAAAGTAACTCTGATCAAGCCCATATAAAACATCAGCAATTGGAGCAGGATTTTCTGACACTTACTTAGTTGCCTTTTCCATTAAAAGCCATGGCCTGTCAAGAGGGATATCATTGTTGAAAGGTATCAGTCAGAAGAGAGGGGTACAAAAAAAATCCTGGGTGTTGGATATACTATGGAACACAGTGAAGACAATCATACACAAGTAGAGAAAATATGACATAACAGTATCATTATCAAGAATTGTATGTCCCTCCAAAATTGATGAAAAAAACAAGAAAAAAATAGTCCAATAGGCTGTCAAGAGATATCCAACAATATTAAAGAAGCTGCAGGAATTTTTGGCAAGTAGTGGTTGCATACTACAGATGGCAACAATCTCCCATATTCTTTATATCTGGACTATGGGGTAGGGTGGCAAGATGGAAGTCTTTTTTTTTTCACAAAGAAAAACATTGAAGCCTGGCTATATTGTCTAAAATCTATATCAAGTCTGACAAAAGCATTTTGGAAAATGTATTATGCTCTGATGAGATCAAGGTTGGACTTCTTGGCCATAATTCCAAAAAATATGTTTGGTACAAAAACGATACTGTGGATCACCAAAAGTACTCCATACCCTTTGTGAAATATTGTCGTGGCAGCTTTATGATATTTGGCTGCTTTTCTGCAGTTTGAAGTGGGGCTTTAGTCAAAGTGGAAGGAATTATGAATATTTCCAAATATCAGTCGAGTTTTGCACAAAATGTTCAGGCTTCTGCCATAATGCCGAAGATGAAGAGGAATTTGACCATTCAACACAACACAGCATATCTTCAAATCAACAAACAATGGCTTTAGAAGATCAACGTTTTGGAATGGGCCCAAACCTGAATCCAATTGAAAATCTGTGGGATGACCTGAAGAGGGTTGTGTGCAGGAGATGATTTGGCTTTCCCCCAAAAAGTCTGAATACTGTCATAAAATCAAAAAGTCCTTCAATGAAGTATTAATTTAAGGGTGTGCACACTTATGTAACCACTGTCAAGCTTCAAAAGAAATCTTACTGTTGCTACTACACTCACATCTCAGCTTTCCAATGAAATATGGGGAGAGGGAGCAGGAGATAAAACATGCGCCAACCAGACATCAAGATGTTGGCATCAGAACCAAGGACATTTCAGCAAGCCAGAAAGACTTTCCCACAAGATCTGGAGATTGTATTGGGCAATGAGACCTGAGTTAATTGGCGGGGGGGAGGGGGGATGGAATAATGTGAACTTTAACTATGCGGATTAACACAGAAAGGTCTAGATTTGGTTTTGCTCCAAACATACTAAAGTGATGTACTCAAAAGGTTTTGCATGAAGAGATTAGATTGTCTTGGTGGTGCTTGCTTTGGATGGGTTTGTCAGTCGGAACCCTGACAACCACATTATTGCAAGTTTTTTATTTTTACGTTTACCTTTGAAATATTTCAGTTTATTTTTCCATTGAATTGTATAGCTTATATATTAAATTAAAGATAGGGGGAAAAAAATCTCAAGTGCTTTATCTTGGTCTGATATTTTTTTACATCTCAGAAACCTCATATTTTGATATCCACTATATCAGGGGTGTCAAACTCATGGCCCATGGGCCGGATGCAACATATGCTGGCCTCACCCACCCCCGGTTTAGCAAAGGGGAAAAAGTCCCAATATATCACATGACACCACCATGAGGATGCAAGTTTGACACCCCTGCACTGTATGAATGGGGTGTATGTGTGTGCGTAAATGTGTAAGAGAAAGATGGGGGGAGCCATTCTGGAATGTAACCCCATTCCATAATGTTCAGTACCTCCCAATTTACCCTTGGGCTAAAATAAATTATCTTTTCTTGACTACAGGGCAATATGTACAAGGATTTTGGCTAAATTTTGTTTCCACAAATCAGATTTTTTAATGTTTATTTTTTTTGTTCTATTTCTATACTGCTTATATTGTTCATCACCAGACACTTTACTATAAGCACATTTTATGATTCTAAATGTACAGGTAGTCCTTGACTTACAGCTACAACTAAGCCCAAAATTTATGTTGCTAAGTAAGACAATTAAGTGAACTTTGCCCCATTTTACGACCTTTGTTGCCACAGTTAAGTGAATCTTTGCAACTGTTAAATTAGTAACACTATTGTTATATGACTATAGTTTCCCCATTAACTTTGCTTGTCAGGAGATAGCAAAAGGTGATCACATGACATCGGGACACTGCAACCATCATGAGTTAATTGACAGGTGATTGAATTTTGATCAAGTGACTATGGTGATGCCTCAATAGTCATGTGAAAAACAGAGATAAGTCACTTTTTTTCCAGTGGCAGTGTAACTTCAAATGGTCACTAAATGAACTGTTGCAAGTTGAGGACTACCTGTACAATATATGCCTAAATCCCTACCATTAATGCCTCTAGGTATTTTTATGTTCCCATCTTCTTCCCCCAATATCATTTACAAGAGTATAAATCCCAATGGGTTGCAATCACTTGCAATTATTATAATCCATAGACTTGTACAATTTTTATTGCCAGCTATGGGATGGCCAATTTTGTATTTCCAAGTTACTACATTTCTATATGTACTGAGTATTAAAGGTTCTAAGTAAGCCAACTTTAATTTTTTTTATTAGATTTTATTTATTAGTTGTAATCATTTTAAAAATAATTTAATAGCATTTTCCAGATATGTATGTTTGTATGTATGTATGTATGTATGTATGTATGTATGTATGTAATGTTTGCATAAACATTGACTGCTTGAAAATAGTTGCCTAGAAATCATTGATGATAATTGATATACCTTTCTATCAGAGTGGTATTCAGCAGGTTCTGACCAGTTCTGGAAAACTGGTAGCGGAATTTTTGAGTAGTTCAGAGAACTGACAAATACCACCTCTGACTGGAGATTTTACAGTATCCTTCCATTGCCATGCCCACCAAACCATGCCCACAGAACCGTTAGTAAAAAAAAATTGAATCCCACCACTGCTTACTATGTACACTTCTGTTAAATCACCAGACTGACACAGACCCATAGAAACGAGCTTGTGCACAGTATTTCACCACAAGATCGGATCTACGGGTTTATGCCAATTGGCACTTATGGAAATAAATTTGAAAAAACAATTGCTAAGGATTTATGAGGAAAAGCAAATCTCAAATTCATATTTAAAAAATGGTACAAATCATAATAAGATGGTTACAATTATGCATGTTCTGAATATTGAAAAACTACTCAAAAAGTATCTTTATGTAACAGATCTATGATAAAATCATTTGCAGAAAACTAAGAATAAATTTTGACTAGTGAAATACTGATAGAGTAGCTCTTCGGCACTCAATTGCTTAAAAATGTGGTACTCAATGCATTTTGGTGCAAAAATGTTATCCTGATACTCATTGTTTGTTTGGTACTTGATGTGCTGCTATAGGAAAAGAGCCATGGGGACAGACAAGAAGTCAACCATGCCAGGAAGGTCACTGAAAAAAGAAGAGAGAGGACAGCTGCAGAAGGTGAACAGGAAATCGGCCATGCTGGAGAGGTCACTGACATAAGAAAAGGACAGGCAGGAAGCTCTTCTCAATCAAAACAAAGAGCTATGTCACATGGTTTGTTTGACATTCATTTTAGTGCTCCTTGCTCCTCTTGAAACCAATTAATGACGAGTACTGAGGTACCACTGTAGCTCACATTTCATAATTCAAAAATAAAAATGTGATGCAAATTTGCCAGTAAGAATGAAAAATCAAACTCTCAATAAAAAAAAGCCTTTATGCAAACAAATATCTAGCACCTCTAGTTAGCTTTTTAAACTCAGAGAACAAAACAGATTTCTTAAATCAACATTCAGACAGTAGCAACAAATGTAAATCGGTTTGTTGTGCATTCTTTTAAAAAATCATATTAAGCAGGACAGCAGATCATTAGAGAAAATGAAGTGATCCCCATATATATCCCCATATAATGTCTTCCATTAGAAGAAAAAGTTGGATATACCTCATGATCCATATTGGGCCCCAAACTGCAATGTGCCTCAATATCAGTAGTTAGGTAAACTGTATTTCCTTTAATAGATTATACTATAAAGTCAAACACTGCAGGTCATTCTCCGATTTATCATACTTGATCAATAATTTTTTTTTCTTATTTGTCGCTTTCATCATCATAGACTTCGCTTTAGAAATATAATTCTTTTATTCCAAAATATTATTAGGTCTTCCTAAAATGTTTTTCCATACCAACCTGTGGTAAAACTTTAGGATGTTATCATATTTCATTCCTAGAATGGAATACATATACTGTCAGGTAAATATAAATAGGACTCTCAATTCAAAGGATTACTACAGAGAAAGCCATTATATTACACATTAGATGTGACATTACTTCACATATGTTAAATAAGGAATTCAGTTTGCTTGTCTTCATTGATAAATTTCACTTTCAAATAATGAATCCAAAATATTTAAATAAAATGTTAAAGCAAGATAAGCTTATACACTGTGCTCATATGATTATTTAAAAGTTTGCATTGAAACATTACTTAAATAGCATATATGAGACAATACAAAGGTACATTTAATATTTTATTACCTTATTTAGTTCTTATATGATCAAATTCTTCATCTGTTTTTTCCATTTATTTTTCATTACACTATAATTGAATTAAGAAATACAGCATGAAACAGTTCTGTATTAAGAGAGCCTTAAAAAATTACATCATAGGAACACATCATTCTCCCCCAATGCATCTCTTAAGCTCTTTGGCAGGATATACTTAACTATTTTTTTCAATAATTAAAAAAATGAATAATATATTTTTACCTTAAAAGTAGTAAAGGAAAAATACTTTTAAATGGACAAAATAGAAAGATATGTTACTTAGCAATAAGACCAATGCTGCAAACCTGTGTAAATGCTTGATGACCTTGCTAAATATTGTAGCCTAAACTATGATAACTTTTACCAAAGTAATTACCAGTTTATAAAAGCATTAACTTCCTGTTTATGAAATATTTATTTTTTCCACTAAAGCAATTGGTGCTAAATTTGGGTATAATTCCAACCCCTCAAAAGTTAAATGATTTTTTTCTATTGCAATTCCTATTGTTTTTGTGAATGGTCATTTAATGAGCGGTTGCTAAACAAGGATATTTTTTGTTCCCTTTCAGTCTATTAAAAAAAAAATCCTGGAGACTGCAGCTTGCTTGGCAAGCTTTCAGAAATGGTTTGCTATTGCCTGCTTCCTAGGGCTCAGAAAGAATAAACTGGCCCAAAGTCATCCAAGTGGTTCATGCCTCAGGCAGCACTAGAACTCTCAGTCTCCCAATTCCTAGCCTGTTGCCTTAACCATTATCTGTATTTTAATCTCAATATACAGAGAAACACTAAAGCACCAATCTACTTAATAATTTAGTTAAAATACTACTTAAGGATTTATGTTTGTGAAATGTAAATAATGTTTCATTTGGGAGTAACTGTGAGCACTTTTCAATCAACAGACAAAAATAGTTCACAATAATAGAATAAATTCCATATTTGAGAGTACATACTGAATTATTAGAAATATTAACTGTTTATTGGAGTGATGTTTATGCCTGTAGAGAATATAACTATTACCTTTTATCAATAATGTTTAATTTAAAATATATATTTTTCACACTGAGACATAGTTGTTATTGTTTGACAGAGAAATACAAAATACAAAAAGTCATAATAAGACATATAACAACGGAATTGTTTTTGCATTCTGCCTTCAAGTGAAAATTAATTTCAATTAGAAATACTCAAGCCACACAGCAACAAACTTTTATAAAGAACTGGTTTGCTACACTGGCATTACCATTTAGTACCATAAGTACATGATCTACATTGCTCCCTGAAAAAAATAAATGGTGTACATTTTCCCTTACTACTTGGAGAAGTATCCCAAACCCAGAAATAGACACTGTTACCAACTGGAAATCAACTTACTACCTGTATCAACTTCTAAGTATATGGTTTATGACACTAAATAATTTGTAATGCTATTATACAGAAATTAGACTTCTTAGTGCCAGAGGAATCAGCATTTTGTTTTCAGGCACTGATTAGAAAGCTGAGTTATTCTATCTAAAATGGACATCTACCTAAAATGGACACCTAACATCAAAAACATCATCAAAAAAGCACAACAAAGAATGTTCTTCCTGCACCAACTCAGAAAGCTCAAACTGCCCAAGGAGCTGCTGATCAGTTCTACAGAGGAATTATTGAGTCTATCATCTGCACCTCTATAACTGTCTGTTTTGGTTCTGCAACCCAACAGGACAGACACAGACTTCAGAGGATAATTAGGACTGCAGAAAAAACAATTACTACCCACGTGCCTTCCATTGAGGACCTGTATACAGCACGAGTCAAAAAGAGGGCTGTGAAAATATTTACAGACCCCTCACATCCTGGACATAAACTGTTTCAACTCCTACCCTCAAAACGATGTTATAGAGCACTGCACACAGAACAACTAGACACAGGAGCAGTTTTTTCCCAAAAGCCATCACTCTGCTAAATAAATAATTCCCTCAACACTTTTCAACTATTTACAAAGTGTGCACTACTATTACTGTTAATCTTCTCATCACTCTTTATCACTCATCCCCTCCCACTTGGGAATGTAGGACTGTAACTTTGTTGCTTGTATCTTTACAATTTATATTGACTGTTTCCTAGTATGATTTGATTGTTGATTGTACCCTATGACTATCATTAAGTGTTGTACCTGATGATTCTTGACTCTTGACGAATGTATCTTTTCTTTTATGTATACTGAGAGTATTTGCACCAAGACCTTGTGTGTCCAATCACATTTCATTAGTTTCCTTTCAAACCTGCAGTAACCTTGTTTGTAGGCAGGTACAAGGTGAATCATGCAGTGCTCAGAGTGTTCCACAGCTGCTTGTGGTAAACACCTATAAGCATCTTTTACTGTTGTGTAGCAGTGGTCTGAAGTATTTTTGCCTCTAGTAGGACAATTTATATGCTGGAAATATTTTGGGAGCTCTTTCCTTAAATTTGCTTGATTGAAATCTCCTAAAATGAAGGGAAGGGAATATGGGTGTTTGGCTTCAAGCTCCATAATTTGATCAGCAAGAGTTCATGATGCTTTGTTTACACAAGCTTGTGGAGAAACATACACAGCTATTAGGAGAAATGAGGAGAACTTACGTGAAGAATAAAATGGCTTGCAGTTGATATGTAAAGACTCTAAATTTTCATCACAGAATTTATATATTATAGTTATATCCCGAGACCAGCTGTTGTTGATATATAAACACAATACTCCACCCTTTGTTTTACCTGATGTCAATTCTGTCTGATCTAAATATCTGAAATCCTGGGATGTATATGGTGTTGTCCCCATGAATTTGTGCATTAAGCCAGGTTTCAGTAAAACAAAGAATTGCTGAATTGTAGAAATCAGAATTCCATCTATTTAAGAGATGAATTTCCTCTCTCTGGCAAATTGAAAGAAAAGAATGACAAGTACAAAAAATGGAAAGAAGGACATACAACTAAGGCAGAATATCAGCAGATATCCAGAATCTGCAAAGACAAAATCAGGAAAGCAAAGGCTCAGAACGTACAAAGACTTGCAACAAAAGTCAAAGATAATTTAAAAAAAGTTTCTTCCAACATATAAATAAAAAGAAAAAAATCAAGGAAACAGTCGGTCCACTAAAGAGAGAAGATGGCAAGGAAGTAACAGGCAACAGATAGAAAGCAGAACTGCTTAACTCATTATTTGATCAGTCTTCACGCAAAAAGAAACTATAGTTCAACCCACCAAAAACATAACTGTAAAAGACAGACCAGAAATAAAAGTTAAAATAAGCAAAAAAATAGTAGGAGAACACCTATCTGATCTTGATGAACACAGGTCACCGGGGCCTAATGGATTACATCCCAGAGTTTTAAAAGAGCTGGCAGAGGTCATCTGCACCATATCTTTCAAAAATCCTGGAGAACCGGGGAACTACCAGAGGACTGGAAAAGAGGTGATGTGGTTCCCATCTTCAAAAAAGGAAAAAAAACAGACCAAGAAAACTATGGACCAATCAGCCTAACATCAATACCCGGGAAGATACTGGAAAAGATAATAAAAAACCCAGATCTGCCAACATCTAGAAACAAGTAAAGTCATAACTAGCAGTCAGCACTGGTTTGTTAAAAACAGATCATGCCAAAACAATCTTATTTCATTGTTCAACACAGTGACTAAATTAGTAGACCAGAGAAATACTGTGGACATAATATATTTAGATTTCAGAAAGGCATTTGACAAAGTAGACCACAACCTACTTCTTAGTAAGCTAGAAAAAAGTGGAATAGATAGTACCATCACTAGATGGACTCGCAACTGGCTGGCAAACCATACTCAACGAGTAGTCCTTAATGAGTCTAAGTCTACATGGAGGGAAGTAAGCAGTGGGGTGCCACAAGGTTCCGTCTTAGGCCCAGTACTCTTCAATATCTTCATTAACGACTTAGATGAGGGAATAGAAGGGGAACTTACCAAATTTGCCGATGATACTAAGCTGGCAGGGATAGCTAACACCCAAAAAGATAGGCTCAAGATATAGATGGATCTTGACAGACTAGGCCATATCTAACAAAATGAAATTCAGTGTAGATAAAAGTAAAGTCCTACACTTAAGCAAGAAAAACCAAAAGTACACATATAGACTGGGTGAAACCAGGTTCAATAGCAGTAACTGTGAGAGGGATCTTGGAGCCTTAGTAAACAACCAGCTAAATATGAACCAGCAGTGTGCAGCAGCAGCAGCCAAAAAAGCTAATGCAATCCTAAATTGCATTAACAGAAGGATACAATCAAGATCAAGTGAGGTACTAATACCACTCTATAAAGCCTTAGTAAGACCACACCTATAGTACTGCATCCAGTTTTGGTCACCACATTATAAAAAAGATACTGAGACTCTAGAAAAAGTACAGAGAAGAACAACCAGGATGATTAGGGGACTGGAGACTAAAACATATGAAGAATGGTTATAGGAATTGGGCATGGCTAGTCTAGTGAAGAGAAGGACCAGGGGAGGCATGATAGCAATGTTCCAACATTTGAGGGGCTGCCACAGGGAGGAAGGTCAAGCTATTTTCTAAAGTGCCTGTAGGCCAGACAAGGAATAATGGATGGAAACTGAACAAGGAGAGATTTAACCTGGAAATAAAGATAAACTTTTTGACAGTGAGAAAAATCAACCAATGGAACAGCTTGCCCTCGGAAGTTGTGGAAGCACCATCACTTGAGACCTTCAAGAAGAGATTGGACTGCCATTTGTCAGAAATGGTGTAGGATCTCCCGCTTGGGTGGGGGGTTGGACTAGATGACCTATAAGGTCCCTTCCAATTCTGATTATCTGTTATCTGTTAACCATCTTGTTAGCAAATGAGTGTAAATTAGTTGTTAGTCATTATATTTGGGGGTATAAACTTTCCTTTCTGCAAAACATAAATAATTCATGCAAATATAGACACTTTCATCTTTTCTGGAATGGAAATTCTTCGTGGAAGGAGGAAGGGAGGTTGTACTTTAAGGATCACTTGCAGAAATTATTTGAAAAAGGATACAAAGATTCACCATTTTCTGACACATTCAAGAAAAAAGCAATAGGCAAAAAACTCAGCTGTTTTTTTCTTAGTCTCTGTTGCATAATTGTAAAATATCATTGGTAAAAGTCATATCCTTATATCCAAGTATTGAGTGCTCTTAAAAATCATTCTGTGAAGGCAGCTACTGTCTACTTTATATCCAAAGTTAAGTCCAGTCTTCATACCGGTAGCTAAAAAATGCATCACCACTGAGACTTAGGAGTCATGGTAACCTCTACCTGGCCAGCTGCCCACCTTTCCTGCACATTAGCCAGAGGCAGAATTATCCTGTGTAAATGTTACAATGCCTGGGGAGTGGAGTGTCCCAAAGTGAATCTGATCCTTGTTCATTCTTTCATTTGCTTCTTGGCAGATATAGGTGGATCTGGCTGGGACAGAGGAAAGAGAGGGAAAGAAATAGGGCAGCTTCTAAATACAGCAGTTAAAATATTTGTGTACTTGCATAATTTAGAACTTGCTTCTACTGAGTTACATTCTTAAAGAATTGGAATAGTTTTTATTGTGCATATTTAATGTTTAAATCAATGCTTATTTTGTTTTTCTAAATAAAAAAAAACTTTCCCAACATGTCCAAATGCTTAATATGTATTAGATATTTTCCAATGGTTTCTCTACATCTTCCTGTTACTTTTATTAGTGTATGTCTATATCAGGTACAAATTATAGGCATAGGCAGCTGCCACAGTGAACTAGAGAACTCGATGTCCCTTCATTAAAGAAGTCTGCCAAGAAAGATACTTATGTTTCCATAAGTCAAAATGGCTTTATCTTGATGTGTTTTGTAATTCCAAAACCGCATTCAAGCTGTACACTAACAAAATGATTGAAAATAATTCTTCCTTCATTCACAATTTTTAAATTGCTAATATTTAAAGTAGAAAAAAAGTTACAGGAGCTACCTATCATGATGGTACAGTGCTTCCTCCTCCTGCCCTCCTCCTCTTCCATTTGAAAGCAGAATGGACTTTGTTAGAAAACCCTAATAACATTACCTGATCTGCAGTATAAGTCTTCCCAATTATTCCAGACTCTAACGTAAGCTTAATAACTTATTATAAATCAAATTAATCACACGCATAAAGCTCTTTGAACCATACAAGAATTTTATATGGATAAAAGTGCAGCTTGCAGAACAAAGGTTGAGTAAATGTAGGAGTTCCTATTACTGTCTGCCCTGCTGCAACACCACATCAATCTTGTCCAAGATTTTTTTTCTTAGCTTTAGTAGACATTTAGTGTCTATGTACTGCTTTTTGCCAACCATGTATAATACTGTATGGAATCTTTAATTATACTTTTTCTGTCAGTCATAAGCTGTCAGCGATAAACTTTGATATGTTAATTACAGGTTTATGCTACTAATTGCAACATGCTATTAATATCAGTTGCAGATCATTTAGATTTCATGCAGCAACATGGAATTACCTGTATCCAAAAGTACACTCATACTGGTATTCCCAACCAAAATGATTTGAACTTCATTACAGGTAGAGTCATATAGGTATTCATAAAATATTAGAAAATGAACACATCTTTGTCAATGCTGAACACATCAATGCTGAACCTTCCACTAGTCATCTGATTTATCTTATATATATTTAATTTCTATCATATACTACTCTTTTCCCATTACTCATTCAATGTTCAACTCCATTTTCATATAGAACTTTATCTTATAGTTGCTGTAAATTAAAAAACATAAAATAGGAAAGCATATTATTACTAAGACCAGATGAATTCAGTTGAGCATAATATGGCTTATTTATGGCATTAAGACATTCTTTTTTAAATTAACCTTTAAATTGTATTTTGTTTTCTACTTATTCTGTTTCAGCTGGTTTTTTCAGAGGTCTATTCATTATTGAAGCTTAACCAAATTTCTTTTCAGCCGTCAGTCCTGTTTTAGTTTCATTTTTAAGCCTACTTTTATATAACTATCCAATCTTCTTATTTTTTAAAGTTAACATTTCTCGTTGCTTTTTTTAAAGTTAGTGGTCTAATTTACGAATCTACATGTGGGCTAATGATTTGTTTTGTGCATTGCAGTCATTAATTGCAATGAAGACTGATAATGATAAATATACTATAAACTTTTTCACACATATACATTTCTTACTGGTGTGCTGAAAAACACACTATGGCTTTCCTAGCATAAAAGTCCTGTATCTTCAAAATTTAACTTATTGTCCTATTTGTATATTTTAAGTGATACTACTCTGCATTTTGGTATGTATACTTAATAAAGTAACAGCTATGGTGGTTTTTGTATTAATTCTTATTTCCTTTCTTTTTGTGTAGGGGAAAAATAACCACATTCTTCTAATCATAAGGAATTACTATAGACTTCATATATAAATTAACGAAATTGTATAGCCACAGTATAAGCAAACTACACACATAATTTGACATTTCTCCAGTTATATCATTTACAATTGTGGTCTTACCATTTCTCACATCTTTAATAACTTCCTTTACATTATTTTTTTGAAACCTATCTTTAAGCCATTTTTTTCAATCCCAATCTTGAACATACTATTCTCATAAAGATATTTAAATAATCTTTCTGAATTAAAAAGTATTTGTCAGAAACAGAAAGAAGTATTTCATCATTTCATTTGCATGCCAAATTATTTAATTATGTTTAATTTTTAATTTTATTAATGGCTAGAGGTATTTTTAGCCTATTTCATCCATTTTGGAATAAGATTGTACAATATTTTGAATTATTGAGAAAACCCTTTTTAGAAGACATGTATATTGTACATGTTCAATATATAGCAACAACTTGAAATTTAACATGTTTAGAAAAATATGGGGTTTTCATGCTCTAATAACAATAAGTGTGTGTTTGTGTGTGTGCGTGTGTGTGTGTGGAGAGAGATTTTGAATTTACAAAAGACTTACAATATCAGTTAAAGTTGGGATATAGTTTTAATTAGGGGTAAGATTTATTGTTTGCTCATTTATGAATTTTCTTATGTTTTCCTTTGATTTTTGTGTATGGAAAACTGTTCTCTTTTATTTTATTGTATATTACTTTATGTGTGAGTAAAGAATAATCAAAACTATTGGCAAAACTATCTTATTTTGCAGGAATATTTTGCTGTCTATATATGATAATGTGCTATTTTTTCTCTTCTTACATTTTGCAGGATTCCTGTCTAAACAGTATTTCTTATCTATACTTTACCTCTGCTATGTTATCCCATAATACCACATATTTCCCTGGAACCATGTAACAATTATTTTCACTCTTTTTCAAGCACTCTCTGCTTTAACCTTTCTTATATCCGCTTTTGATATATTTGAATGAAAAATTAATTTGTTTTCTACTTTTTATATAGGACTTCCACTTTGTCTGGCAGTTGGTCACTTATTAGTTAGTTCTCATAATAACAAAAGGAATGGGGCTACAGAGTGTATGAATATATGTACATTGTCCTACTTCTATTAACAAGTCTCTATACAGAAAAATCATAAGGAAACCCACAAGATTTTTGCCAGATTACGCTGCTTACAGTATATATATATGTTTTTCTTTTTTTCCCTTTTTCCTTTTTAGTTAAGAATTAAAATGCAAATTCACAAATGAATGACAAGAGAAGAACAAACCTTAACAGGACAAAAAAGAAAAAGAAAAAAATTCACATACATTGTTCCCTTAGTTCAGGGGTATCAAACTCGCGGCATCATGTGGATGTCACGTGTTGTATTGTGACTTTTTTCCTTTCGCTAAACTGGGGATGGGGGTGGCCAGCACATGATGCATCCAGCCTGTGGGCCACGAGTTTGACACCCCTGCCTTAGTTGAATATTGATAAATATATTACATTATTAGTTTTTCTTCCCTTGTGAAACAGGTCTACAATAATCTGCTACAATTCTATTGACCCAAACAGTCTGATTCATCATCTACCTCTTGTACAAAGAAACAGTTAACAGGCGAGCCCAACAACAAAAATTAAGTTCAAAGCCCTTCGTTAACAAGCCATTATTGTGTTTTACTTGAAGAAATCGGCAACAGCGTCAATTTCATTTTCAACTTTAATCATTACAGTTATTGTCTCTTGTCCATCCAGGATCAAATAGCTTTGATTGATTCTTAATAATAGAACTTTTCCTTATTATAACTAAGGTTTTTCCATACAATCACATTTAATTCCCCAAAATAATATATCTCTGTTGTAGGTATACAACATTTATCTACAGTGTTTGCTGTTCAAAAGTTCTATATCTGTTTTTTCTTTGGAAATAAAAGTTTTGGGACCAATGATTAAATAGTATAAATTATATTTCTCAGATGCCCTGCTTATATTTTTCAATTGGCCTGCTTATTCAAGTTTGAATTTCTACCACTGATGAGAAGAGGAAGATGATGAACGTTATGATCAATTTCAATTTGAAATTGAGAAAACATGCAATCAAAGTAGATGTGCTGTTTTGGTTCAGGACAAGTCTGCCAAAATTGGATATAGTAAGGACAAGATAATAAGTTGATTACTCGGCCTAAAAATTGACCTTATGCAGGAAAATGACTTAATAAATTTCCCCCTATACAATAATTTCTTCATTGCTAAATAGTCTTGTGAGTTCTATTACATAATAAAACAAATTTATCTCTTGAAACATAAATGACCATGTTCAAATTACCATATTTTTGACAGTACTGGGAAAGATAGAAAGAAAAGAGAAAAGGATGACCAGCAGCAAGATGGATTGATTTGATTACAGCACTTATGAGTTTACTGTTGTAACAAAAACAGGATTTGGACAGATCATCATGGAAAATTATGTGAATACTACAAGGTGACACTGGTCTAAGTTAATCAATGAAAAGTAATAAACCAAATTATATCTCAGAATAATTCCCCCACTGTCCCATCCTGAATGTGCTGCTTTATGGTTATTTTAATTCTTTCTACTTTTGTGTTTATTCTAATTCTTCTTTATACACCTCATGTATCCTTTTCCTATTTCAGTAACTACTCAATACGTATTAACATTTTCAATTTAAAGCATGTCAAATAGCATAGTTCAGTGATCCAAGGCACTGATATTCTTTTTTAGAATACTCCCATTATAAGAACTCTAAATATATTCTG